TTCCTGCTTTCTTCTTATCCCTACTTTCTTCTTATTCCTACTCTTTCTTCTTATTCCTGCTTTCTTTTTATCCCTACTTTCTTCTTATTCCTATTCTTTCTTCTTGTTCCTTCTCATTCTTCTTATTCCTACTTTCTTATTCCTACTTTCTTCTTATTCCTGCTTTCTTCTTATCCCTACTTTCTTCTTATTCCTACTCTTTCTTCTTATTCCTACTCTTTCTTCTTATTCCTACTCCTTCTTTTTATCCCTACTTTCTTCTTGTTCCTACTCTTTCTTATCCCTAGTTTCTTCTTATTCCTACTCTTTCTTCTTATTCCTAGTTTCTTCTTATTCCTACTCTTTCTTCTTATTCCTACTCTTTCTTCTTATTCCTACTTTCTTCTTATTCCTACTCTTTCTTCTTATTCCTACTTTCTTCTTAGTCCTACTCTTTCTTCATATTCCTACTCTTTCTTCTTATTCCTACTTTCTTCTTATTCCTACTTTCTTCTTAGTCCTACTCTTTCTTCATATTCCTACTCTTTCTTCTTATTCCTACTTTCTTCTTAGTCCTACTCTTTCTTCTTATTCCTACTCTTTCTTCTTATTCCTACTTTCTTCTTATTCCTACTCTTTCTTCTTATTCCTACTCTTTCTTCTTATTCCTACTTTCTTCTTAGTCCTACTCTTTCTTCATATTCCTACTCTTTCTTCATATTCCTACTCTTTCTTCTTATTCCTACTTCTTCTTATTCCTACTCTTTCTTCTTATTCCTACTCTTTCTTCTTATTCCTACTCTTTCTTCTTATTCCTACTTTCTTCTTATTCCTACTCTTTCTTCTTATTCCTACTTTCTTCTTAGTCCTACTCTTTCTTCATATTCCTACTCTTTCTTCATATTCCTACTCTTTCTTCTTATTCCTACTTTCTTCTTATTCCTACTCTTTCTTCTTATTCCTACTCTTTCTTCTTATTCCTACTCTTTCTTCTTATTCCTACTTTCTTCTTATTCCTACTCTTTCTTCATATTCCTACTTTTTTATTATTCCTACTATTTCTTATTCCTACTTTCTTCTTATTCCTACTCTCTTCTTATTCCTACTCTCTTCTTATTCCTACTCTTTCTTCTTATCCCTACTTTCTTCTCATTCCTACTCTTATCCCTAGTTCTTCTTATTCCTACTCTTTCTTCATATTCCTACTTTCTTCTTATTCTTACTCTTCTTATTCTTACTCTTTTCTTATTCCTACTCTTTCTTCTTATTCCTACTTTCTTCTTATTCCTACTCTTTCTTCTTATCCCTACTTTCTTCTTTTCCCTAGTTTCTTCATATTCCTACTTTCTTCTTATCCCTACTTTCTTCTTATTCTTACTCTTTCTTCTTATTCCTACTCTCTTCTTATCCCTACTTTCTTCTTATTCCTACTCTTTCTTCTTATCCCTAGTTTCTTCTTATTCCTACTCTTTCTTCTTATCCCTACTTTCTTCTTTTCCCTAGTTTCTTCATATTCCTACTTTCTTCTTATCCCTACTTTCTTCTTATTCTTACTCTTTCTTCTTATTCCTACTCTCTTCTTATCCCTACTTTCTTCTTATTCCTACTCTTTCTTCTTATCCCTACTTTCTTCTTATTCTTACTCTTTCTTCTTATTCCTACTCTCTTCTTATCCCTACTTTCTTCTTATTCTTACTCTTTCTTCTTATTCCTACTCTCTTCTTATCCCTACTTTCTTCTTATTCCTACTCTTTCTTCTTATCCCTACTCTCTTCTTATCCCTACTTTCTTCTTAATCCTACTCTCTTCTTATCCCTAGTTTCTTCTTATTCTTACTCTTTCTTCTTATTCCTACTCTCTTCTTATCCCTACTTTCTTCTTTTTCTTACTCCTTCTTCTTATTCTTACTCTTTCTTCTTATTCCTGCTTTCTTCTTATTCTTACTCTTTCTTCTTATCCCTACTTTCTTCTTATTCCTACTCTCTTCTTATCCCTACTTTCTTCTTATTCCTACTCTTTCTTCTTATCCCTACTCTCTTCTTATCCCTACTTTCTTCTTATTCCTACTCTTTCTTCTTATCCCTACTCTCTTCTTATCCCTACTTTCTTCTTAATCTTACTCTCTTCTTATCCCTAGTTTCTTCTTATTCTTACTCTTTCTTCTTATTCCTACTCTTTCTTCTTATTCCTGCTTTCTTCTTATTCTTACTCTTTCTTCTTATCCCTACTTTCTTCTTTTTCTTACTCCTTCTTATTCTTACTCTTTCTTCTTATTCCTGCTTTCTTCTTATTCTTACTCTTTCTTCTTATCCCTACTTTCTTCTTATTCCTACTCTCTTCTTATCCCTACTTTCTTCTTATCCCTACTTTCTTCTTATTCCTACTCTTTCTTCTTATCCCTACTTTCTTCTTATTCCTACTCTCTTCTTATCCCTACTTTCTTCTTATTCCTACTCTTTCTTCTTATTCCTACTCTTTCTTCTTATCCCTACTTTCTTCTTATTCCTACTCTCTTCTTATCCCTAGTTTCTTCATATTCCTACTCTTTCTTCTTATCCCTACTTTCTTCTTATCCCTACTTTCTTCTTATTCTTACTCTTTCTTCTTATTCCTACTCTCTTCTTATCCCTACTTTCTTCTTATTCCTACTCTTTCTTCTTATCCCTACTCTCTTCTTATCCCTACTTTCTTCTTAATCCTACTCTCTTCTTATCCTAGTTTCTTCTTATTCTTACTCTTTCTTCTTATTCCTACTCTCTTCTTATCCCTACTTTCTTCTTATTCCTACTCTTTCTTCTTATCCCTACTCTCTTCTTATCCCTACTTTCTTCTTAATCCTACTCTCTTCTTATCCCTAGTTTCTTCTTATTCTTACTCTTTCTTCTTATTCCTACTCTCTTCTTATCCCTACTTTCTTCTTATTCCTACTCTTTCTTCTTATCCCTACTCTCTTCTTATCCCTACTTTCTTCTTAATCCTACTCTCTTCTTATCCCTACTTTCTTCTTATTCTTACTCTTTCTTCTTATTCCTATCTCTCTTCTTATCCCTACTTTCTTCTTATTCTTACTCTTTTCTTCTTATTCTCTCTCTTCTTATCCCTACTTTCTTCTTATTCCTACTCCTTCTTATCCCCTACTCTCTTCTTATCCCTACTTTCTTCTTATCCCTACTCTCTTCTTATCCCTACTTTCTTCTTAATCCCTCTCTTCTTATCCCTAGTTTCTTCTTATCCCTACTTTCTTCTTATTCCTACTCTTCTTATTCCTACTCTTTTTTCTTATTCCTACTCTTTCTTTTTATGCCTGCTCTTTCTTCTTATTCCTACTCTTTTTTATTATTCCTACTCTTTCTTCTTATCCCTACTTTCTTCTTATTCCTACTCTTCTTATTCCTACTCTTTTTTCTTATTCCTACTCTTTCTTTTTATGCCTGCTCTTTCTTCTTATTCCTACTCTTTTTTATTATTCCTACTCTTTCTTCTTATCCCTACTTTCTTCTTATTCCTACTCTTCTTATTCCTACTCTTTTTTCTTATTCCTACTCTTTCTTTTTATGCCTGCTCTTTCTTCTTATTCCTACTCTTTTTTATTATTCCTACTCTTTCTTCTTATCCCTACTTTCTTCTTATTCCTACTCTTTCTTCTTATTCCTACTCTTTTCTTATTCCTACTCTTTCTTTTTATGCCTGCTCCTTCTTATTCCTACTCTTTTTTCTTATTCCTACTCTCTTCTTATTCCTACTCTTTCTTCTTATCACTACTCTTTCTTCTTATCCCTACTCTTCCTTCTTATTCCTACTCCTTCTTCTTATTCCTCTTTATTCTTACTTCTTTTCTAAATCCTTCTCTTACACCTCCTTACTTTTATTACTTCCAGTTCTTATGTGTGTTTAACAGAATAAGTTCATAAAAGAACATGTAGCTTGTTAGTGTACAGGACTTACTCATGCATAGCTGACTTCCACTGGTTGAGGACAGGTACAGTACTGCACTGGATGAGGTGTTGCTGTCATCCTCTTTTACTAGATATTTTTTCTTTCATGTATAATTTGTTTGTACAAAGTTTATAAAAAAGATCTGTTCTCTTTCTCTCTCAGCAAATAATGATTATAATAAATGTTAATTACATGTAGCATTAAGTTTATTAAATCCTAATTAAAAAGGTACATTCAAATAAATTACTTATTTGTATTGCTGAAAAAGACTTACTATTTCAACAAAATGTTTGAATTCACTAACCAAATTTGGATACTTTGGATATATAGGACCCTTTGGGCACCTGGTAATTGAACATGGGGAGAGGCCTGATGTTGTTGAATCAGAGGAGTTCAAGTGAGTGACATTACATAACTGTCTGGAACACATTCACTTTCATTAGTATCAGAACCATAATTTCCTATGTCAATATAATTTTGTGTTGGACCTCTCCTCTAATTGCTATCATCACCATCACTTGTTTCATGCACAACATGTTGATTATAGTGTGCAAAAAAGTGATACAGATTCATTATCAGAACTTGAGATATTTTCATCACAGCTTTCTTGATTAGGTACAATTTTAAAGTCTTAATATTTCCTAAGTAGTAATGACATTGTAATGTACAGTAGTACAATACTGGTATGTTCTGCACTATATTACTCAAAGATAAAATGACAGTGATAACATGGGTATCAATAATTGTAACTCCTACACTTGGGTTATGTAAATTTATATCTGAATTTGTGTATCTTATTTTCTTAAATATACATTACAAGATCTTTATAAACAATGCCACACACATAAAGTGTCTAGATTACTGCAAACTGACAGTTTGGGATGCCTCAGATGCATCATCTGTTGCTTTGATAAAATATTTTTTTTTAGATAGTATTATAAACTTTGGGATTTGGGTTCATATAGCGAATCACTGGGTAATAAACAGTCTAAACCATAATAAAAAGGGGCACTGTATATTGGAGTCTGAATAATAATATAAATAAACTTTCCTGTAATTCATATTGGCTTGTAATTTTGTCTCAGTTACCAGGAACAGTTGGTGGTGGTGGTGTAACAGTAGTGCCAGTGAGTCAGGCATCACAGTTACGGACGGCTGGACCAACAGCTATGGCTGCCCAACAGAACACTATTCAGTTCCCTCAAATACAAGTGGTGCAGCCTATGTTTCAACACATTCCTGGTATTGGCCAGGTGAGAACTTTTAGGACCAGATTCTTTATAACAAAATAAACTACAGTATTACCCGCTTTACATGGTTTCACTTGGTTTCACTTTCCGGTACCTTGCCAGAACCGGACTTTCACTTTCCGCGGTGCATCTACTTATATACGCGTGAAGTATAATTTATTTTTTATTTTTTTTTATTTAGCTCATAAAATTCATACAAATTACCCAGCCAGAATATAATTTACATTGCTGGAATTCTTACAATATGATAATCATTTTGAATAAAACATCATGGATTTTGCATTAGACATACAAATTTTAGATCTAATGTAATAAAATGGTTTACACAAAGCAAATATTTTATCTTTTGTGCAAAATATATGAAGTTTACATTCAAAATATTCCCTGACCTGCAAGGAATCCAGAAATGTCAATTATATTATCCTAACTTTAGTCTGAGGTATTACTTATTACTAAAAGTTAAAATCTAGTTTTTTCACCCAACATTTCTCTGGTAGGGAGGGAAGGTGGGGGGTGGGGGGAAGGGTTGGGACCGACCGACCCAGCTGGCGTGAATGTGAGGAGGGGGGAGGCAAGGTGGGGTGCTTTGATTGACAGATAGTGTCGTGAAGAATATATTTTTTTTTATTAACTGAAGATATTTGTTTTAGCTCATAAAATTCATACAAATTACTCGACCAGAATATAATTTACATTGCTGGAATTCTTACAATATGATGATCATTTTTAATATAAACATCATGGATTTTGCATTAGACATACAAATTTTAGATCTAATGTAATAATTTGGTTTACACAAAGCAATTATTTTATCTTTTGTGCAAAATATATGAAGTTTACATTCAAAATATTCCCTGACCTGCAAGAAATCCAGAAATGTCAATTATATTATCCTAACTTTAGTCTGAGGTATTATTTATTACTAAATGTTAAAATCTAGTGTTTTCACCCAATCGTTTCTCAGAGAGGTAGGAGCCAGTGAGCTGGGAAGAGTGGGGGGGGGGGGATTTGAGTCCATTATTTGAATGGACATTAACCTGGCAACTGTATTTCTCTTAAATATTAATTGTGAGCATACCATCATAAAATTTTGATGTTATTTTTACTACAACATAGGTATTGTGTCGGAAAAAGTGGAGTTTGGAGGTCGGGCCAGTCTCTATTGGAATTAATCCCATATGTTCTGTTGTTCACTTTCCGCGGTACCCTGTGGGTTCAATTGACCGGGGTAAATCAGGGTACTACTGTACAGTATATATTCAACTACTGTACTGTATATTGAAACTGAATATTATCGATTGATTGAAAAGACCCACTAACCTTTTAATGCTGCCCTGACTCTAAAGCTGTTTCCCCAGTGTTCTCCCCATATTTTCACTCTTTACTACACACACTTCATGACCATGAGTCTATATTTTGTTTCTCAGTCCCTTTACATTATTTCATCTGTATTCAAGAACAGATGGTTAATTTACAGGCAGTATTTGTTAACTTTGTTTTATTTTATGGCCTTCATATAATGCCCAGTTCTCTCTCTGAAAAAGTGAATTGACAATAGAAAAGGCATCCAGCTCTAAAACTTGATAGCAGCCAGTACACTAGAGCTGTCTCCCCTCAGGTTTCAGCACCATGTTGCACATGAAAGAGTGTCTGTGAAGCTGGTCTTGGTGGGTCACACCAAGGCCACTGGACACCATTTGTTATGGCATCAGGTTTGCTAGTTCACCAGTACCTGGATCTGCAATGGACATCTTGCTTGACAGAAAAGACACTACCATTTTTTACACTTCTGATTTTTGCAGAATTAAAGGGTTTTCATAGTGGTGTCCACAGGTTGCTCAGGGTTGTCACTGGGTGGATTCTTTTCTAATAGGGTCTTAGCTGTTTCTTTGTCTGCAGGAATGAACTCATGTTCGTTTGCAACCAACCACATTTCTCCTACCATGTTTCCATTTTTTATCTATCTCTTGAATGATTTATGTCCCAAGTTTGAACATTTTAAGGGAGTTGCCACTGGGTCCTCCTCAGTGTGGTTTTGGTGGGTTTTAGGGAAGTCTGGTGGAGTTAACAGCTCTAGCGAAAGAATTTATAGCTCTGATTACTGTTGAAGATAATTATTTGCCTTCCTTCACTGGCTTGGTAAGACAACATTGCCAAAGAATATATTTGGCACCAAGGATTGCCGAGTCTTCGTTCACTTTTGAGTAGGTCAGAAAATTTACCTGGTGTCTGTGGATGAAATGCCTTTAATATTTAAGGTGGAGTCCTGGTTCAGTACTGGTCGCTTTGATTGCTTTCAGGATTTTTCTGATGGTTTGAGGCTCATCACCATGGTAAGATTGGTGTTTTGGGGAGGGTGGTGAATAATTAATCATGCAAGGGGGCCTCCACAAACCAGGATAGTCATCATGTTTGCAAACGGTGCCCGTTTTTCTGTTGACTCTGCAGTCATTCCCACAGTTTGGGCAGGTGCCATGGCTCTATTGGGTGATTGAGTCCTGGCTGTCTGGGAAGGTTGTAGCCATTTTGTTGCCTTGATGGGGTACTGAGCAGGCTAGGCTACAGATAGATTGGGAGGTACATCTCTTTTGTATGGTAGGCAGGCTACCACACAAAACAGATGTACCTCCCAATCAATGTGTAGCCTACTCAGTACCCCAATGAGGCAAAAAAATAATATTATACTACTACAAAATGGGCTTGTTGTTATTTATAACGTGTTTGCATGCTTAGAGCCCTTAACCTTAGGGGCTCCCTAAGCACATGCTTACTGTGCCTAATGGGTAATCTGCCATTGCCCCTGGGTCAGTCTTACACCCTCCTACCTAACTTACATGGGATAATACACCATATCAGACCATTCAGAAAATGCAGAGGAGTGGCCTTGTAAATAAAAACAACAAATCCATTTTGTAGTAATATATATTTTTTTTATGACATTAGTAACCAAGATGGATGGCCCCCAAAGTCTTCATACAGCGAGTCTTAATCTGCCGCTGCTTGGGGGAGGTGGTTGGTGGTGGTGTGAAGGAAGCACAAGACATATATTAATGTACTGTATTTATTTTCACATTGGCTTTTAAATTTAAGAAAATATTTGAAGCGTGAAATTTGATATACACTATTCCAGTAGCACTATACAGGTTTAAGTGAAAAATTTAAGCATTATTCGGCATTTGTCTTACTCATCGAGTGCCCTGCTATAAGCTAGCTTTGTGAGTGTGCTCCCCCCCCCTCCTTTGAGAAATCGTGGATGTGCCATTGATTATAAACTTCTCTCCAATGATAATGAAACTTATTTAATTGTAATTACATTTAAACTGTCTGTGAAGTTGGTGTTAGCATTGATGTTTAATAATGAATTTATTCCACAAAATGAGATTATCAACCATTATAATCTTGCTTGAATTGGGTTATGCCATTGTTAGTTTTGTTATCCTTCCTTTAACAGGTACAGGTGGTATCTCCATCAACCTTACAGACCCTCACATCTTCTATAACAGGATCCTCACAACCCATCTCTCTCTCTGCTTTGAATGCTGTCCCAACATCCACTACACAGCCAGTCACGACTGCTTTACCCACGCAAATTTTACCTGGAGGAGCACAAATAATCAGTAAGGAATACCTTGTGAATCCTTGGATTTTTTTGGTATAGATTTTTTTTTACCCCTGTTGTAAAATGCTATATTTTAGTACCATTAATTGTTCCCAGACTATAATTACTCTTTCAATCTGGATTAATGGTCATTGCAACATCCTCAATTCCCACCAATATGTTACTGACGTTTGACCTACGACCAACACTAGATTAAGCGTTAGGTTTGGTTCCTGCTAAGCGTCCTGTATACTCTTTGTTTGATATTGATTTTGTCTTCACAATGCCTTGAAACAAACCCAGAAAGTGATAATACTCAGTGTACTAAGTATAAGAGAAAATGTGGAAATATTATGAAAATTGGACCAAGAATGGTCAATGAACGAAGTGTGACTAGTATGAGTAAAGAATCACAACATTGTATGACTTAAAGAATTTTCTTGAGAAAATATTGAAATTTTATGCTGATAACTAAGTTGTCACAGGAATCCATGACTCCAAGGGCGGTCTTTTTCATAAGTAAGTGTTAATTCTGGTAATCGTACGAGTGTATGAGTCAAGCAGCCCTTCCACGGTAATAGCTAATACAGTACAGTATAGGAATATGATGTACAGATGAACCTAGATTTACAATGGGTTAAGTTCCTGAAAACCATCACAAATTGAAATATTGTAAATCGAGTTCATTATAACATGGGGTTGAATGGGATACGTTCCCAGCCAGTCCGACACACACACATGTATCACCGAAAAAAAAAATCCTACACTAATAAAATAAATAGAAAACAATTAAACAACACTCACCACATCATTAAGAACAAGCCTGGCCACTTCACAATGTTAAGCTTCACCTCCAGAGACATGGTTTTCCTGGGTGTCTTGGCCTTCCCCGTTGCAGGAGCCTTCAGCAACAACTTGCTCGACATTCTTAAAGTTACACTGCTCACTTCACAGTCACAAAAACAGAGCAGAGGCACTTGTCACAAAAACAGAGTGAAGTACTTCACAGTCACAGTAAATGTAAAGAATAAATAAATAAATAAATAAATAAATAAATAAAAGAAAAAATACTGCATTGCCATTTGACAATCGTTTCATGGGACACAAGACAGAGAACAGCTGAGAAATCAACCACTCCTCTCCCCTTTCCCTCTCTGAGGGCTAACTCCAGTGCATGTAAGAAATGTGTATTCCCATTATGTTTTTGATCTTATGATAATTATTTATTTTTTGCTTTTTATTTTTTTGCACATTTTGTATGAACAATTGTGTGTGCATGTAACGGAGTACAAAAAAAGAAGAAGAAAATTACGTACAGGTGCTCCCCTACTTACGACTGCTTGGACTTAAGTCCATCGGTACTTACGACCTGCTTTGACTTTACGACCGTCGGGACATACGACTGCGGCAGTCGTGACCAAAAATGTTTTCAAATGATGCGCGCATTTTCTATACCGAAACGTTTCTGTCCCGGGCGAGAGCGTGGCGGGCTTGGGTCGCCACGTGGGTACACTCACTCTGGAGCGCTTAGTTGGTGTTTAGCTATCGTATCCTATACTGATCGCGCTGTGAACTTTCGTTATTATCGTATTTAATTGACTTTATAATGACTGAAAAGCGTAAAAGTGAGAGTGCTGCTGGTGCTCCAAAGAAAAGGAGACGGGCAATTACTTTTGAGATGAAAATGAAGATAATAACGCAGCATGAGAATGGAAAAACTGTAGCAACAATCTCATGTGACCTAGGTTTCTCACACTCGACCATATCCACTATTCTGAAGGACAAGGAACGTATTCGTGATGTAGTGAAAGGAACAACACCTATAAAGGGAACTATAATATCAAAGAAAAGACAAGGCCCTATTCACGATATGGACAAATTATTGGTGATATGGATAGAAGACCAGATACAGAAGTGTGTACCCTTAAGCCTTCTAACCATACAGGCTAAAGCAAGAATCCTGTTCCAAAGCCTGAAGGAGCAGGCAGGAGATGAATGTGATCAAACCTTTGCAGGAAGTCATGGGTGGTTTGATAGATTTAAAAAATGCTACAGTCTACACAATGTTAAGGTGAGTGGAGAGGCAGCTAGTGCCGATGTTGGTGCTGCCGAAGCTTTTAAGGAGGAGTTAGATGAAGTGATTGTGGAAGGGAATTATTTGCCTGAGCAAATATTCAATGTGGATGAGACTGGATTATTGTGGAAGCGCATGCCTGAGCGGACATACATCCACAAAGAGGCGAAAACAATGCCAGGATTCAAGGCATTCAAGGACAGAATTACACTTCTGTTGGGGGGGAATGTTGCTGGTTTCAAGCTAAAGCCCTTCATGATCTATCATTCAGAGAACCCCAGGGCTTTTAAACATGTCAGCAAGCACACACTGCCAGTGTTTTATCGCAGTAATAAGAAAGCCTGGATGACCTTAGCACTGTTTGAGGATTGGTTCATGACTTGTTTCATTCCACGAGCCAAGGAGTATTGTCTGCAACAACGGATTCCATTCAAGATTTTGCTGATTTTGGATAATGCTCCGGGACACCCACCACACCTGGACGACATGCACCCTGATGTTAAGGTAGTGTACATTCCACCTAACACTACCTCTATCATCCAACCCATGGATCAAGGTGCTATTGCTGCCTTTAAAGCGTATTATTTACGCACGACCTTCGCTCAGGCTGTTGCTGCTACTGAAGGTGAGAAAACGCTCAGAGAGTTTTGGAAGGAGTACAACGTTTTGTCATGTATAAAGAACATTAGTGCAGCATGGGATCAGGTTACAAAACATTGCATGAATGGAATATGGAAGAAAATCCTGAAAAGATATGTGAACAGTTTTAGAGGATTTAATGAAAATGAAGTTATTTCGGATATTAGTACAGTAACAAGATAGTGGAGTTAGGTAAACAGCTGGAGTTAGAAATTGATAATGAAGATGTTGGACAGTTGGTTGAAAGTGTAGCAGAAGAGCTCAGTAACAAGGATCTTATTGAACTAGATGCACAGAAAATTGCAGAGGAAGAAGAGAGACATAATGTAGAAGAAGAACCTGCACCCCCCCAAAAAGTTTTAAGTGAAACAAATGGCAGAGGCATTTGCTACAATTAATAAAGGAATGCAAATGTTTGATGGCATGGATCAAAATTATGAGCGTTATGCCAAAGTTGACAGAATGATCCAAGATGCACTTGCTTGCTACAGAGAAATTTATAATGAAAAGAAAAACAAACTGTGCAGTCTAAATTGGACATCTATTTTAAGAAGTCCCCCAGTGCTGTCTCCTCACACCCCACCAGTGCTGCCTCTTCACTCCCTCAAGATGATCCAATACCTTCAACCAGCAAGTTTCCACAGTACATAAACCTGTCTGAAGATAGTGACATTGATGACCCACCCAGCCCTGTCTCCTCCTCTGCTTCATCCAATTAATATAGTCTCCATGTATCCTGTAAATAGAAAATTATGGGGGCCCCGTGTGCATTCAGCTGACTATATTAAAGGTAAGTGCTCAGTCACACTGTATCCATTCCTCATTATTTATTACTTTTACTGTACTGTATTTCATTGTACATTTTTTATTTATTTATTTATTTATTTAAAAAATTTTTTTTATTTTTTTATTTTTATTTATTTTTTTAAATTTGGGTCCCTAACCCCGTCGTAAGATGGGGAGCACCTGTATATCTATCCGAAATTACCTATACCCTGTATATTGAATAATAACATAGCTCACAGCTCAGCCTCACCTGCTTTGAGTGCTACTGGGTGGCGAGTTGGAGACTCTGCTACACAATTACGTATCATCTACAGATGGTATTCCATGCACCAGCAAGTTTGGCCGGACGATGGTCATCGTTAATGTGAGTTTTTTTTTGTCATAAATAGGGAGGTGGCCTTAAAACATCACCATCGTTGAAGCGAAATATCATAATTAAAGAGATTGTAAATCGAGGTTTACCTATATCATCAAATATTGTGACCTGTGTCTTGATAATAAGAAATAAGCAAATTTTCCTCTATTTAACTTCACTTGGCCTATACACAACTGAAGGAGAAGTGGCAGTGTTGCTCTGTTATTCCTCATGAAGACAGAACAATAAGTGAGGTTATTAACATTATATGCTTTTAATAATTGATGATAACAATAAGTGAGGTTATTAACATTATATGCTTTTAATAATTGATGATAACAATAAATGAGGTTATTAACATTATATGCTTTTAATAATTGATGATAACAATAAGTGAGGTTATTAACATTATATGCTTTTAATAATTGATGATACACTTCATTTCATTAATAGAATTAAGTTAAGCAGATATTTAATCAATCCCATTGCCCCCACAAAAAGGTTAAGGGGTATAAGGACTTCTCATCCACCCTTTAGATTGAGTTATGCTGCATAATTGAGTAATGTACTCTGATATTAGATATATAATGGTGTGGCAAGGAGTTGACCAGTTTTAGGGACAAGATGCTAGTTTGGGGAGAATTGTCTGTAGGTCTTGTTTTCTGTAATGGGTAGCTACAATAGGCAGAAATAGCAATGGTTTTATTGTGGCAATTGCCTTGGCTCACCATCCAATGCCCCTTTTCTAAGTAATGGATCCAGATATGCTTTAAGTTGCAGCTTTGTCAGTAGCATACACTACTGCAGAGGCTTGTGACCATGATGATAGATAGCCCAGTCATGCAGACTAGCAGTGCAGTAAAGTTGTGATAATTTGTAGGATAGTTACCAGAAAACATTGTGAATCATCAAATCACAAATTATATTTTAATTGATTTAAATGAAAATAATTATGGTGGTTAAATTCCAAAGGTAAAAAAAAATATGCTTCCACTCTTCCAAAACTGCTTTAATAAACACTAAATACTGTATCGTACATAATATATAAAAAACTACAATACCGTATATCTCGGCCTATAAGACGGAATTTGAACCATTAAAAAATCTGCCCAAAGTTAGGGGGTCGTCTTAAGCACCAGATATAAAATTCTTACCTTTTAAATATTGCGGTTTAGCGTGTCAAGAGTGGTGATGGAAACATGGTAAACCACTCACAAGGTCCTACCACTAATTATTTTATACTGAAACTTACGTTTGGGAAGCTGGATTAAAATGAAGATTACCGGTATATTAAAATAATAAAAATGTATTATAAATCTGTCTAACATACCGTAAAAGAACAATATACCCCGGTAATAAACACAGCTGCTATCATCACCCCATTTGCCAGTGACAAGAAAGGGAAAGTGACCTTGACTGTGACCGCCTCTGGCTATTTTTAGCCGTCCTTGTGTTCGGAGGTGGTCAGTAATGCATATCTGTATATATACTGATCATAATACTTATCTCCTATAAATAATTCATTTAAAATTAATTTTTTTACAAAGAATATTCAGTAAATTGCGTTAATTCTTGAAACTACCGACAGTGGTAAATTTAGGATATAAATTATGAACAGAAGTCACGTCATGGATTCGGAGTTTGGTCAGCTTCACCTACCAGGTATAATGGTAGCCTCCCTTTTTCGCAAAACAAGTATATAATTAAAGAAAATAGTACGAGTAAACATCATTAGGTAGAGTTTATATACATCATCAATGTTTCTTGTGACAGGTCAAGTTAATGTTGAAGGTCTGTGGTTGAAAATGTGTACTGTAGAGGGTAACTAGTACAGTATTGATAGACACTGTAGTGAAGTTTACCTATTTAACTTCTACACTGCATCATCTGTACTTAGAAATTTACTTACAGTGAACCCTCACTTTACGCGGTCAATTGAACCCACGGCGGCCCGCGTAAAGTGAACAACATAACATATGGGATTAATTGAAATAGAGACCGGGCCGACCCCCAAACTCCACTTTTTCAGACACAATACCTACGTTGTAGTAAAAATAACTTCTTATTTTTATAATGGTATGCACACACAATTAATAATTAAGAGAAATATCAATAATATTAGGTTTTATAACACTTACATTAGTAGAAAAGATGGCTGGGCACACGGGGATGGGGGGTTGGTTCCGAGGCAGAGGGCAGATTATTGGCCCTCACCTGTATCACTTGTATCAATTGTATCACTATCCACCACAGAGGCTTGCAGGGCCTCTTTGTCAAGCCCCTCAAAGTCCATATAAGTCCATATCCTAACTATAATTATCAGTAAAGGGGTACACGCACCGCGGAATGTGAGCATTCCGGTTTTGGCAGGGTACCGCGTAAACGCGGAATGTGGGACCGCGTAAAGCGAGGGTTGACTGTACTTGTTTACAGTGAGGCGGGCAGATGCATCCCATGGCCACTTGGTGATATGTGCATCATATATACCTGTACAGTATTCATAAATGTCTCTCATAATCAGAAATATTACCGAATAAGAAATTTATGATGCACCCTGTATACAGGTGTTTACAGTACAGTATAATGTATATGGCAGTGTTTTGAAATACTTCACAGATTTGAAATTTTACCAGATACTTTATTATAAAAATTTTAAGAAATATTTTGTAACAGCAAAACAATGAGTTATGAGTGATTTTGATGGGTAAAAATTATTGTTTTTTTTGTATTTTTAAGTCACATTAAAGCACTGAAATGATATTTCTACAACTCTTAATGATTTCTTGTGTAAATAAATACTGTGATAGCCACAGCTTGGCTGCAAACTATGAACATTTGACCAAAAAAAAAAAGAATAGTAATAGAGGTACAGGGTACCTGTGAATTTATAAACATGAATTTGTACAGGCATTCCCGATAACTGATGTACAGTATATAGGGACCCTGTAAAGTCTTTGGTTAGTGAATCAACGGTTATCGGAGGAATTAATCCCGTAAGAATATACCAAATTCATGAGGTTAGGGACCGGCCACCACCCAAAAACTCTCTTCTACCCTTGATATATATCTGTTGTGCACACTGTCAAGTAAGAAAATACAGGTGTAAAGCAGATACATAAAGGAAGCATAAGCCTTAAATAAGAAATGTAAAGCATAAATTGAGACTCTTATTTACCTGTGTTGAGGAGGGTAGACTGTCTCGGGTGGCAAGTTCAAGTCTATCAATCTTTGCTGGTCCATCACTCTTATTATGCCTTATGACATCACATTAAGGTACCCTTAAGAGGGGCAGCACAAGAGAAACTATCACTGGGGTGTTTGGGTATTATTGCATAACACAAAGTCGGAAATAACAACAAAACGCAAAGTTGGAGACACATGGTTAAGTGTAAACAAGTGCATTTAGGTGTGAATGAGTCAGGGGCAGAGCCCTCTTGTGGCAAGAATTTGCTCCATGCCACCACCCGCCAAATTCAAAACGGCTCTGCTGCTCCTCTCTGATTGTCGGAACTTCGGGGTATCAACGAAACTCGATGGTACAGTATTTCCGCTATATGTAATCGTCGTTTATGCGAATCGACGGTTATTGGGGGTGTCGAGTTTCGAGGTATACCTGTTTTTTTTGTGAATTATCATGACTCCACTGTAGCCATAATTGTGAACCATCTTGCTCTTCTCTCAATCATAGAATTAGGTCTAAGGATCATTCCCCAATTTTTCTGCCACTGACCACACTCCACATCTATAACTTTCTAAGCCATTCGATTGTTGTGTACTTGAATTCTTTTGTACAATAATTAATTTAGAAAAAAAAATCAGGACAGCCAGGAACAGTTTAATGTTGACACAGTTTCTCAGTTTCTCCACTGGTTTGTTGTGTATTCCAAAAGCAGTGTCAAAAAAGTATTTACTGGTACAGGCTGTATGTGCTCTGACTTATGCAAAAGTATCCACCAGTGCCCCTTTTTTACTTGTTTGTCTTCTTTCTTTCTTCCTTCCTGTAGAAACTTACCTAACCTAACTTAACCTTGAATTGCTAAGTTGCTGATAACTAGGTTAGGATGTATGCGACTGAGTAATGAATAATTCCTATTGACATTGTTGTTCATCACTTTATGTTTAGATGTTACCTGTGTTTGTAAGTGGAAATTGAAATATTAGTAGCAGTAAATATGACACAAATTTAAAGATTTTAGATAAATAAATCACAGAAAAGAATTTACAGTAATCATTTTACTATTTTCTAGGTGCCAGTGGGTTTCAGGGTGAAGGAGATGGAACCAAGTGGGTTGTGTCAACAGGAGGTCAAGTAAACCAGGCCCAGGTTATCCCACAGCCAGAACATTCACCCACCAGTGAAACAGTTAAGACTAGGCTACGTCGTGTGGCATGCACGTGTCCAAACTGTAAAGAAGGAGACCGAGGGGGAGACAACAAGAAGAAAGTGCATATATGTCATATTCCTGGTTGCAATAAGATGTATGGCAAAACATCACACTTAAGAGCTCATTTAAGATGGCATTCTGGAGAACGGCCATTCAGGTGCTCTTGGCTTTTCTGCAATAAGAGGTTCACACGTTCTGATGAACTACAGGTATGTTATACTAGTGTTTGGTTCTTGTGATCCAAAAAAAACTCCCCCTGGTTTTGTTTCCACCCAGTAGCAAGTTTAATTTTTCTCCTTCACCATTATTGCCCTCTCTGTTTTGTTTTCCCACAGTCTTCCCTTGCCTGCCTTTTGCCTATTTCTTTCCCATTTGTTGGCAGGGCTTGGGAGCTGGAGTTATAAATGGGTATCCAGAGAGGTAGATGCGTGCTTTCCTTCATGGTGACAACTGTTATACTGATTATTTGCTTAAGATGCAGTCAAGGAGAAGTGTGAGTGAGCGGGGATGAGCTATTGCCACAATAATAGTCATCTACTGACGTGGGAAATTTAAAAAAATTAAGCGCTAGATTGAAGACAACAGACCCCTACTACATCGGGTGCTCTGGGACGATGTCAAACCTTTAAGGGTTAATCATTATGTGTGTAGAAGCAGGCACTGAGGGTGGAAGGGAGTGAGCTAAAGCTGGCATTTCCTCACTCACTGCTCTGCTCTCTCACCGTCTCCTGGTAAATGGCAATGCAATTTTTTTATTTATTTTTTATTTATTTATTTATTTATTTTTTTAATATTCCTCACCTTTACTGGATCAGTGTATATTATTTTTTGTACAAAGAATAAGTTCTTCCACGTGCATTCCTCCCATGCATCCAGCTTGCAACACAGTTCAGGCAGTTACCCAGCTCAGCCAACTCACAGATGTGTGGTGGCCACTGTGGTGGGTGTATTGCATTTAAAGCCTAGTAACCCACTGCCTCCTAACCCATTTACATCCACATTGCTCTTTATTTTTCTTATTTATAGTTTTATATTATATTTTCCATATTTCTAAGCCACATTAGAGTACAGTATTGGAATGATTTTTTCACAACTTTATACTGTAGTTTCATTAAAAGCAACAATAAACATGGTGGCTAGGCTGGTGAGTCAGAGACAAAGTTATAGCCTACCACCTACACACACACATTCACTTCTCATACATACACACCTATGCTCTTCATTTTTCATATACAGTAATATCTCCATCAGCCGGAATCCCTCAAACCCGGAACTCTCCGATAGCCGGAATTGAAATTAGCTCAGAAAAGCATTCCCAAAGCCGGAATTTAAAAAAGAATTCGGCTTTGGGAACAAATTTTCCGAGGTCGAAAATCGAGAGCATATTCTGAAAATGTCTTGGATAAAGATGAAAGCTCAAGTATTTTGGGGAGGGACCAGACCTGACTCAATGTCAGGTGGAGGTAAGGTAGGGGATTAGTGGTCTCATATTACTGACTTTCTGGTGGAATGTCAGGTCATCCTTTCTTGGGTAGGGGATTAGTGGGTCTCATGACCTGAAGATGTCTTGAATAAACACAAAACCTAAAGTATTTTAGAGAGATAAATGAGCAAAGCTGTATCCCTTCTACATTACATTACATAACATTTTAAAATATGGAGTGAGAAAGCAAAAAGGTGTGGGTGATTAGAGAGATGGGTGCTTGTTGTCTTAATTCCCGTGTGTGTGTGTGTGTGTTTTGAGCTTGTCAAGCACAATGTAGGATTTGAAGAAGTTGATGAAGAGTTTGTTCAGGAGTCAGGTGGTGAGGTGATATGCCAAGACACACATCAGCTGTTGAGGAGCTTAGCTCTTGGTAACACTGGTGCATGCTATCACTCCTTTCCACTCCAACTCTCTAATCACCCACAACTTTCAGCTTTCTCACTCCACATTTTAAAATCTTATGTAACATAATGTTGAAGGGATACAATATGATAAGTGTAAGTATAAAAAATACTGTATTTTAGCTTTCATGTTTATTCAAGACATCTTCGGGTCCTGAGACCTACTATTCCCCCACCCAACAGTGGGTGACTTGACATTGTATCAGGTCAGTTATATGAGACCACCAATACCCCACCCTACCTCCACCTGACATTGTGTCAGGTCAGGTCAGTTACATGAGACCCGCTAATCCCCCACAGCTCCAAGAGAGTGAAAAATACCAGTCATTGCTCTAACACACAGCTTCATTCACGACCATATATAGATTTTTAGTTTAGACTCTTGGAAAACTCCCCAGCACACAGAAACATTATGAGGATGTGGGCTAGTGTTTGTCTGTGCAAGATGCATAGTTTAGACACTCGGAAAGTTTTTCCAGTAACCAGAAATATTTCCGGGGATGGGGGGGACTTTTCTGTGTTTGAAAAAGTTGTCTGGTTAGCCGGAAATCTCTCATCCCCGGAAGTGCTCTGCACCAATTGTTCCGGTTAACTGGGATATCACTGTATTATAGTTTTATATTATATTTTCTTTATTTCTAAGCCACATTGTTTATATAGATTAGAGTAATTGTTAAAGAAGTCTGTTTTTCTGAGAGCCGTGCCAGGAGTCAACTGGCTGACATGCGGGAGATGGTAATGCATGTTGTCATTGTTACATATAATGAAACTAAAAAAGTTGTGAAAAATCATTGCAACACTCTAATGTAACTTAGCGATAAAGAAAATATAAAACTATAAAATAAGAAATATGAAGAGCATGGGTGTGTATTCTGTGTAGGAGGTAATCTTAAGTGTGGAAGCAGTGGGCAGTTTGTCAATAGTGTATCTGGTGACTCAGCTGGTGAGGCCTATTTCACTTTAAATGCACACCACACAACCACCTCTGATGTAAGTTTAGTTTATCTTCTTTGCCACTGATTGTCAACTTGATTTCAACAGAGAATATTTAGGAAAATTAATGAAAGCATAAAAATTTTTAAATTATACAAGACAGTGCGCACACTGCCGACCGACCGTTAGCAATTCTTACAGAGGAACACACCCAAACCCCCTCCCCTGCTTAGTACACGCGGCAGCTGAGGCCGAGAGAGGAGCGAGTGGAAGTATCTCCCCCAGGCATATGCTCCAACACTCACTGTGTCGTTTTTTCCCCCCCTGAGTAAAGTTGAATGCGCATCAGTTAAATGCGCATAAGATGCGACTCGACTGTACATGTAATTTGATATTTTACTAGGCTGCATATATTTTGGCTGTTCAGTGTCAACATGGTAGGGATTCCAAGTAAAGAAAAATAATAATAATAATTTTTTTTTCTAAAAAATGCGACGTCGACAACACACCCATCTCCACCTCTCGAGAGTTGACATTTGTTTACTGCTCGCTCTGGGGCAAGAGATGGCAGCAGTGATGCAGGTGTGGGAGGGGGTTTTGAGAATTGCAATTAAATGCCAGGTAGTGACGTGTCCTCCTAATATAACGTATTTTAGTAATTATTAGATGTTTTAATTGCCTTTATGTTGGCCTGGCGAGTTAATGCAAGGCATATACATATGCAGGTACAAAGCTAGATGTTGCATTCTGGAAAAAAAAATGCCTGAATGGGGGTTGTACTATATTAATGACTGTGTTCTAACAATTTGGTCAAATCTGTCAAGCTTTTGTGTAATTCACGCGCACCTACATTGATTTATTTCCTTTCTTTTTCTTCTTTCAATATTTGTTCTTAAAGTAAAAACAGGGCGTATGAAAGTTCAATTATATTTTTCTTTGTTAAGTCATCAGTGTTAAAATATTACCAGTATACAGTAGGTACTATGTAATGTATACTGTATTTGTCTATCAGCATTTGACTAGTTGAAAAATGTTTTAAAGATTAGAGACACTTGTTAAAGGATTAAAAAGTCTCTTTTATCTTACAGCGTCATAAGCGCACACACACAGGGGAGAAGCGGTTTCACTGCCCAGAGTGCCAGAAGCGTTTTATGCGTTCTGACCATCTCTCAAAGCATGTTAAAACCCATACAAAACAGAAGGGGATGGTGAGTACTTGGAATGTTTTCTCAAATGTAAGTGGATATTGCAGTTTTTTCTTATGCTTAATGGGGTTTTGGGGTAAGTTATCAAAAAATGGTTTCTTTTTGTGCTTGTTCCCATTTGACAAGTCATGTTTGTTTTTGTTTGTTTTTATGATAGTGTCTGTTGTATCCACGAGTTGTCATTATTTCAGTGCCAAGAAGTCTCCATGTATCGATGAATTACCCTATTATCCTTTCTTATTAAGATTTTATTTTGTAATACAAATTACATATATTTCATGGCAGTACATTTTGTGTTTACATTTACAGTTAATATTACTACTGTAAATTATTTATACATTTTATAAAAAAAATTACTTGCACTGTTCCAGTAATCCCATTCAAGCCTGTGCTCTTCACTTGAAAGGAATATATTTGTTGAACTTACCAAGGCATAAACCTTTACTTATCAGTCTGTAGATATGCACCAGACCACTGGGTCTAGTCTACCATGGAGACATTGCCAGGACAAAAATTGAGTGGGTCAAAACTAAAGATCCAAAAGGGTTCTCCCAAAACTAGACTTCTATTGATTATTAATTTTCTGGGTGATATTTCACCATAAGCTTATTTATTACATTTTTACATTTGTCCAACCTCAGCACCATCTTAAACTTAAAAAAGAATCTTATGTTTATGGTAAAATAGCCCCCCCCCCCCCAAAAGTAGAAGTACTGTACTGTAATCATATTTTATAACCATACCTTGCAAAGAAAAAAAGAAAAAGCTATTTGCCAAAAACTGCACCAAAGATGTTTGTCTTATTTTTTGTTTTATAGTAAACTTTAGGGGACCTATTTTGCCTTGATTATTATGTACCTATATATTGGTAATTGTGAAGTTCATTATTTTTTTAAGTTTTCATGAAGAAAAAAAAACATTGTGGTTTAGAATTATCCAAGGATTTCATCCTCCAATTTAATGTACTTTTTGCTGAATCACCATATATATATATATATATATATATATATATATATATATATATATATATATATATATATATATATATATATATATATATATATATATATATATATATATATATATATATATATATATATATATATATATAAGTATATCAATAGAAGGTGCGTGTGTGTTTCAATGGGTATATGGTTCCAGCTCACCGAAAATTTCCTAAATTCAACAAAAATGGTAGAAAAGTTCACTTACTTTGAGGTGTGTATGTAGAAGGCTCCTGGATGATGATGATGATGATGGGATTTAGAATGGGGGTGGAGGAGAAGGAAGAAGAGAAGGCATTGGGGTGGAAGAGAAGTCACCCCATGGTGCCATTTCACCCATAAAATTTTAGCTCTCTGGTTTAATTCAAGATTATTTTCTTTAAATCAATGCTGCACTGCATTATATATTGTCAATATATAAAATATATTTCAAAATGACCAATAATTTGCTTGGAAACACAGAAAAAAAGCATTTAGTTGAAGAGAGTCTCAAGCAAGATGTTACCTCCAGTGAAAACAGAGAGAGACTGACGCCTGTTTGCTGTGTTAAGAGGCTGGATGCCGCGCATTAAACTAGTCACTTTACCTTCAATTTTGTTCAATAATTGTTAAAATGACTAAAAAATTGAATATTAAACTTTTAAAATTATTGAATAGTATAAACTTCTTGATATTTACAAAAATAGTAAGGAATTTAAGCCCTAGAACCGATTAATGTATTGGCGGACTGATACTAAAGCTGGTTGCCCGGTCAGTGCAAGCGAAAACATGTTGAGGTCGGTTCGTAAGAAGTTCGTTAAGCGAATTTTTTGTTAACCGAATTGAAGATCCTTATGGAAGGCAGTTCGTTAATCGAAATTACGTTAACCGAGGTGTTCGTAGTATATATATATATATATATATATATATATATATATATATATATATATATATATATACACAAGTAAATCACTGTAGGTGCGCGTGATCTAGGTATATGCTGATAACCACAAGGAAAGAAGAAAACACGAAGTTCCCAAGCGCTTTCGTGTAATTTATCATGGTGTAATATATCATGGTAGGACACTTGAACTATTGTGGTCTGTGTCCTTATGGATCCACTTGTCTAATTATTGATGTTGCAGCCATAGTCATTTTCAACAGTAATTATCTGTGAACATTTCATTCATGATCACTGGAAATTTCAGTCTACTGTCTCAATTTTAATGTGATTTACATAACCTGTATCACAATGAGAGTTGTTTTCCATTCTTTACCTTTCACTAAGGTAGTTTTATCACGTCTCCATATAGAATAAAAAAAAATTTCTTCATCTTTACGGTGTTATACATTACAGTAAACCCTCGAAGATATGGACTAAAAGGGGGAACCACCTGTCCGAAAAAGCCGATTGTCCGATTCCGGTGAATGTACTAAATATATAAAAACGATAAATAATTTTATAAAAAACACCAAAAATACAGTACTGTACAGGTACATATTATCCTGACCACTGGGGTTAGCAATAGTTATACAGACTTTTTCCTGTGAAAAAGCCATAATTTTGAGCAACATATTATTGTACTGTACTCACTTTGTACTCAAATGTACTACACTAAAGGACTAAAAAATTTATCTCTTGTGCAAACTATGTGATGTCCATACTCAAATTAATCACTATCTTAAAAGGATTCCAGCAGTGTAAGTTATATTCTGCTAAGTTTAGTCTGTGACATTTTATAAGATAAAAACTTTAAGCCTAAAACTACCTTCACCCTGTTTTGGGAATGCTTCTTAACCCAGAACCCACAAATTTTTTGTCCGAATCTTCCGAAATCTGGATTTACAGGGTCCAAATATTCGAGGGTTCACTGTATGACACACCAGAGAAAGAATTCTGAAAAACACTTGAATTATGGCTTATGTTGGTAACCCTGCCTCAATTTTGAATTGTTGCAAAGGCCACCAGACCCAGGGGTGCAGATTATTATTGTTATTATTATTTATTTATTTATTTATTTATTTATTTATTTTTTTACTACATGATGCATGCCAGCTGAAAAAATGTGTTCTGTCGAATCAAAGAACAGGGGAGCTTATGCTGTCAACCCAGCATTGGTATTGGCATTGCTGTTGGTTAAAATTTTCCTGTAAATGTTTCAAGTGCTTAATATTGTCTTAAGTGTTCAGCCTAAGATAATCACATTTAGTACATACGGTACATACACTTTGGATTCATTTCCCATTACACAAATACCTGTAGGTGGGCATCAGCATTTGCAAATGCATTTGCTTTATAGATTTTCTTCAGACTACATGTAACATCCGTGTACGGTATCAGAGTAAAGTTTGGTTAAATGGTTCCAATGAAACTTCTTATATGTTTGGTGGTACCTAAAATGGGTATATAAAAAAAATAAAATTTTTTGTTACATTGCTGCTGTAACTGAATAGTATAAGGATAAAAAAGGACATATTTTTCACACTGTTGTCTTGTTTTTGAGTAAAATAAATTCTTCCACAAAATTTCACTGATACAGTACAGTCAACCCTCACTTTACGCGGTTAATGTAACCCACAGGGTACCGCGGAAAGTGAGAAACGCGTAAAGTGAATAACATAACATATGGGATTAATTGAAATAGAGACCGGGCCGACCCCCAAACTCCACTTTTTGACGACACACAACTATGTTGTAGTAAAAATATTATCTTAACTTTATGATGGTATGCACACACAATTAATAATTAAGAGAAATATCAATAATATTAGGTTTTTTAACACTTACATTAATAGAAAAGATGGCTGGGCACACGGGGATGGGCGGTTGGTTCTGAGGCAGAGGGCAGATTATTGGCCCTCACCTGTATCACTTGTATCAATTGTATTACTATCCACCACAGAGGCTTGCAGGGCCTCTTTGTCAAACCCCCCAAAGTCCATATCCTCACCATAATTATCACTATCACTGACTTGGGCCGGCTGTGGTGGGTGGCGGGTGAAGAACTGGTAATGTTTTGATGACTGGGCGACCTTGTGCGCACCATGTTCGCGCCGCTTACACAACATGGCGGATGGCGGGAGGTTTGGATCCAAAAATGGCACGGCTCGCCAGCCGCTCTCCGCGTATAGGGGTACATGCACCGCGGAATGTGAGCATCCTGGGTTCCGGCAGGGCACCGCGTAAACGTGGAAACGCGGAATGTGGGACCGCGTAAAGTGAGGGTTGATTGTACTGTATTGATAAGTCCTCTTCAACAGAAGCTTGTTGAAAGAAAACCATAATCAGGTCTTTTAAGTCATAATTCATAGTTAAAGGAAGGTCAGAAGTCAGAAGCTTGTCCAGAGTGAAACTCCTGTATTTATATAATGATAACAACAGGATTATGAAACATCACATGAACTTGTTCCATCACTAAGCAGAGTACAGAGTACTGTACCAAATTCATGTCTGCATCAGAGGTCAAGGACACAGCTGAAGGTCATATTTCCCCCAAAATTGCAGCATAACTGTATCAACATAGATATTTTAAACAAAACTGATTTGTGTCATCACTTAACAAGGACTACCCACCAGACTCGTGTCTGTATCAGAGGTCAAGGTCAATGCTGAAGGTAAATGGACAAAATAATACTTAAATATTGCTACAGTACAGTATATATATTTTGATGAAATTTTACATCCGTACGAGTAAACATCATTAGGTAGAGTTTATATACATCATCAATGTTTCTTGTGACAGGTCAAGTTAATGTTGAAGGTCTGTGGTTGAAAATGTGTACTGTAGAGGGTAACTAGTACAGTATTGATAGACACTGTAGTGGAGTTTACCTATTTAACTTCTACACTGCATCATCTGTACTTAGAAATTTACTTACAGTGAACCCTCACTTTACGCGGTCAATTGAACCCACGGCGGCCCGCGTAAAGTGAGAAACGCGTAAAGTGAACAACATAACATATGGGATTAATTGAAATAGAGACCGGGCCGACCCCCAAACTCCACTTTTTCAGACAATACCTACGTTGTAGTAAAAATAACTTCTTATTTTTATAATGGTATGCACACAATTAATAATTAAGAGAAATATCAATAATATTAGGTTTTTTAACACTTACATTAGTAGAAAAGATGGCTGGGCACACGGGGATGGGGGGTTGGTTCTGAGGCAGAGGGCAGATTATTGGCCCTCACCTGTATCACTTGTATCAATTGTATCACTATCCACCACAGAGGCTTGCAGGGCCTCTTTGTCAACCCCCTCAAAGTCCATATAAGTCCATATCCTCACTATCATTATCACTATCACTGACTTGGGCCGGCTGTGGTGGGTGGCGGGTGAAGAACTCGGTAATGTTTTGATGACTGGGTGACCTTGTGCGCACCCTGCTCGCGCCGCTCTCCATGTAAAAGGGCACACACACCGCGGAAAGTGAGCATTCCGGTTTCGGCAGGGTACCGCGTAAACGTGGAAATGCGTAAAGTGGGACCGCGTAAAGCGAGGGCTGACTGTATTAGAATAAATTGGGAATTGGGATTTCATTATATTCCTTTTGAAATAGTTAAGAAACTGTGGTTGACCGTCGCCAATGTTTTGTTCCAACATCATAAGATTTATGAAATTACGATTGATAGTAATCTTTCTCAACATTTAATAGCTATATTTTTTAAGTTCATTGTCATAAATAATTTTAAATGGTGGCTATCATACTGCAACATGAAGCTCTTTATTCATCTAACCAAACAATCTTTGATTACTCTGAGTTAGGTCGGTTAAGTTTGATTAGTTGGTACATTTTGTCTTTAGTAGTGATTCATTCTTTTCTGAGGTTCTTATATTGGTAGAAGGAAACAGTGGTGGTGCTGTACCACAGTTTGTTGACTTATGTTTCAAAATTTCTATACATACAGTAATATAAACTATTCATTTCATAATTTTTTTATAATTTTGGGTGACCACCCTGCTGATAGATTTTTGGAATTGTCAATAAATAAAAAACAATATTTGTTGGTTGTAAGTCATTTCTGGCATTGCTAAAACACATGCTATATAAAAAAAAATCTGAAACTCTCCAGGCATCCCTCTCTATACAAATGGGTAAGTTCCTTGACAACCATTTGTAAAGTGAATATTTGTACTGTATAATGAATAACATAACATTGGAAAAATAGGGTTCACTTCCCCAGTGACAATAAAACCCCAATATTATACCTAAAATAAAATGAAATCGGTTCACGAACAAAAAGCAAAATAAACCAACCTAACCTTTAAATTAGTATCTAACTTCAGGGATAACTCGCTATTCGCAACCCCACTTATTTGCAATTGATATATTAACACCCATATTCGATATTTGCAAAACATAATCCGCTTATTTGCAAAGCGAATTACAAAAAATAGTGTACATGGAAATGGCATGTTGCCAAATGACGATGCAGTATTTTTTTATTACTGTTTTAGTATTACTGTACAGGGTATATTTTTAAATATTCCTCACATTTATTGGTTCCAATCAACCCCTATTTCCATTATTTCTAATGGCCAGTAATTCCCCATTTTAAGTGGATTCAATTTAGTTGGGGATTTTCCAGTCCCTAATATCCTTAGACAACAAGGACTCTCTGTATACTGTACAGTATTGTATAATGGAATTCTTGTAAAAACTTTCAATTTATTTAAGAAGAAAATAAAAATACACTAGTAATTGAAATTTTCCTCCTTCCCTCACTCCAAAAATTAACAAAAACTGCTATAATAAAAAAAAATATATTGTAAGTCAGACAGTCATAACTTGGGGACTGGCTGTGTACAGTATGTATTGTATTTTCGTCATTTCTAAGTCACATTAGAGTATTGAAGTGCTTTTCCACAACTTTTATAGTTTCATTACATGTAAGAATGGCAATGTGCATCGTCATCTCACACCTGATGATCAGCATCTTTTATCCTCAATTCTTCAATCTTAATTCAATTTTATTCATGTGTAAGAGTATTTTGAGATTAATATCTTCCGCATGTTATGTATAATCGATTATCTTATTGAGGTAGATCTTTCAACAATTACTCATTTATTTATTTATAGTAGAAAATTTATTTTATGTGGGGGAATACAACTGTGTCAAGGGGTAACTATGACAATCTTTAGCATAATTCTGATGAACACTAATTACACATTTACAGTGCTGTTCTGTTCTCAACAACAGATCTTGTCTCATTTTTTAATATTTGAAAATGAAAAGAAGTAAACAATCAAATGTGTAAAGGGCTGAAATGTTTACTGATGAGGGTGAAGTAACAATAAGCCATGTGTCCCAGCCATAAGAGGGACATAAGACAAGTAATGTACAGAATCTTTCAAAAAATTTGGTTGTCAGTTATATCCCTTAACTAGAACTAAGTGATCATGTCTGATTAAGTCAAAATCTCAATGTAATTTTTAATGTTAGAGGTAATTTAGCTATAGTCAACCTATTACAGTCTAACACCTTTAGGTATAAGGAATGTATATCATAATTATGATCCTTTAAGAAGCTTAACCTTGGGCCAACAAGCTATGTGCATCACTAAGCAAACATGAACTGTTGAACATAAACAGTATCATTCACAGTTCTGATGCTATATGTGCACATGCAGTACAGTATTTAATGAGCGACTGTAACCATAGCTACAGACTTGACTAAAATCTCTCTTTAAGTTTAAACTGTCACCAGTGTTATGTATTTTGGGGACCTGGACAGCAGCCCTGTTTTTTCCAGAGTTTAAGTTTGATATAATGGGGACTTACTGTACAGTACTGTACTTCATTTATGTTACAGCTAAGCTAACAAAACAATTCTTTGTTCATTGTTGTGTTACTGTAGAATCTGCAACACTGTGGAACTGTGCAATAGCTGAGTGTTCAGTGAAGGCTTTGAATGAGCAACCTTGCTTTAAATGTATTGATTACAAGTACCTAGTTACATTACTGTATTTAGGTAAATGAATAATCAGAAAAACATTGAAGTGCACCGACATGAGATTTCTATCTGTTAAGGATCCTTAATAAGATGATGAAATTAATGTCCTGTCCTCTGATATTTCCCATTTGAAAAATTTTCTTGACTAAATCCTATATGTGCATTCTTCACCAACTGATGAGATATAAAAGTTTAATCTTTGTGATGCTTGGTAAAATAAATTCCTTAAAGTAAAGAACATTCTTTATGTTGTTTAAAAAAAATTGCATATGTCTCCTAAAACTTCCTTTAACCTTGGTTTTCTAACAATTCATCAATCATTTTCAGAATATTTCGAATCCCACACAATCTTCAGAGAGTAGCAACTCCTCAGATGCAGGAGAGAAAATGCTTATCACAATGCCAGACCAGTCTGTCGATCCCCTCCACATCTCTACTGATGGAGACGTGCCTACCAATGTTCCTCAACCACAGTGATCTCTTAGGTCATGTCACTTATTTTTTTGTAATTATCAAGATATTCATCCCCAAACAACAAAATTAAATACAGTAGTTAACATGTACAGTAAGTGAAGAGCAAGATATATCTATAGAGTAACCCCCAAACTTTCCTCATGCTGTTTTTGTTCTTAGTGCTGTACAAACAAGTGGCACTTTATTCCTTGGTCAGATTATCTAAAGCAACCAATTTTTTTTATCCATTGCTTCAAAGATTGCATTAAATCTTCACCACATGATGGTGGAGAGGACAGCATATGTAGTGTTTGGGGATATATATTTTTGATTTGCCACCCTGCTTTCGATACAGGAAATGGCATTCGTGATAAGTAGACTAAATATAAAATGGATAAGGTGTGAAATAATTTCCTTGTCTTATTCATCTCAAAGATGACTTTGTTTATACAGGGAATAATTGTCAAAGTATATGTGAAATACATAATCGTTTTTATCAAGTTTTAAGCTGGACAATGCTGCTCCTTCTGTAATTTTTTTATTATTTTTTTTTACTTGGATTAAAATGCATCCCAGTTACCAATTATAATGTTGTAGAATGTGAAATAACAAAACACAAATAGATCAATTGAACATTGTGATAAATTATGAATTGTAAATGAGTCCCTTGTTACTGTCCAATCCTAAGTATAAAATATTTAGTATCTAAATGTATGGTGTGGTATAATCAGAAATAGAAATGGGGTTGTGTGATGAAAAAAGGGGATGCTATTATTAACCAACCCCAAACACTGCCCATAGTGGTTATGCAGTACAGAAAACCCTTGTTATTCACGGGGTTAGGTTCTAAGGAATGGCACAAATAGACAAAACCGTGAATAGCACCTTAGACTACCTTAGTGCACTACTGTATACTTATACCAAACAACTGACCAGCCGTGGCACCACTTATTCCCTCTTTTAACTTATCTAGTAATTCAACTTTCTTTGTCAGTGTCATCACTGTCTTCTGCCTTTTACATTGCACTCCACTAGCATCACTAGCACTGACACTTGGCAGTCTTTTAAAGGCTATTTCACACAGAAACACTATTGTTTTGAGAGTACAACTTGAGATGACGCGTGGGGTGACTCGTTGTGCTGCTGGAAAAGGCTTGCAAACTATCCACCATCTGATTACTGTGAATCGTCAAAATCACGAATCGCAAACCCACGAATGGCAAGGGTCTGCTGTATTGCCGCATGTTAATTTTGCCCCCATATCTGTACATAATCTTGTGCACAGCTTTGCTCAAGTTAAATGTGGATCCAATTATATATATATATATATATATATATATATATATATATATATATATATATATATATATATATATATATATATATATATATATATATATATATATATATATATATACATACATACATACATACCAGTACGTATGTACATTACCCTAATATTCAGAGATAAGCCCAAAAAGTGATCTGGAATTCCATAATGTGATTTACATAAGAAACTTTAGCAATATGTACTCAAGTAGAATTTCAAATATTTTATATTCACCTTTTGTAATACATAATCCGAATTTTAATAGCTATTACATACTACAGAGCAGAACAGTAATCCCATCTTCTTTGACAATCATTCTTTTTACCTTTTCCAGAATATGAAGGTTGTTGAATTGCTTTAATATAATGTGCTACATAATTATATTTTTTTATATGAATGCATTTTCATGCATTTCAGTATTTTTTGTTTCATAGATTAATATAAAATGCTGCCAGGAGTTAATGATCTTAAGTTCATTTATATGTGCTTATTATAAGGCTTCTTGCCATTCTAGTCTTACTGACTGCAAAAAAGTATCTTGACATCCATGGAATGAAGATCTCATTTTGATTAACATTGTGGAACACACCACAGTTGGTAGCAATGATGTTTTGTGACTGAGTTATGTTTACATACCCTAAACATGATAAAGTTATACAAATCAAGTAATTATAACAGACTTCATTTATAATTTACTGGTGCTAAAAAGAAGAAAATACAAACATCAATGAGACGTAGAAAGATATAAACAAATTTAAATAATAGCAGTCTGGACATGTTAGGTTTTGGATACCACTGGACTTTTGTTTAGTACAGGTGGCCTATCAAAAATCCGGCAACCTCAGGACCTGAGGAGTGCCGGATTTTCGAAAATGCCGGAAAACTGATGGTTATATTTGCTGTATAAGTTTAACAGAAAATGACTACCTGTACAGTCCTTTAAGCAAAGAAAATTAAACACTTAAGTTAGGATAATATAATTGACATTGCTGGATTCCTTGTAAGACCAGGAATATTTTGAATATAAATTTCATATGTTTTGCACAAAAGATAACATATTTACTCAGAGTAAACATTATATCTAAAATTTGTATGTCTAATGCAAAATCTATGATGTTTATATTCAAAATGATCATCAAATTGTAAGAATTCCAGCAATGTAAATTATATTCTGGCCGGGTAATTTGTATGAATTTTATGAGCTAAAACATATATCTTCATTAAATAAACAAAGAAATATTTGAAAATGCCCTCCGAAATCCATGCCGGAAAACTGAAGGTTCCAGTTTATCGGTTGCCGGATTTTTGATAGGCCACCTGTAGTAAGTGATACTGTAGTTTTAAAAAAATAGTGCTGTCAGTTCAGCTACTGTTACTGACAATGTATGGACTTTGTAAGTGATCAGTATGAACAGATATTACCTTGGTACAATATAAACAAAAACAAACTGAAAATTTTTCAGTTCATATTCTGTAGCTATTAAATATTATATTCTTTAGAATGCTTAAAATTACTCAGTACTGCATTATTGTGTATCGTCACCAATGCTGTGTGTCACAGATAAGACCTCTAATGTTAGAATTGGTTTGCACATTCAGGAGTTTTTATCATTTATACTTTTATATAGCAAAGTAGAATGTCACATTCTGCTTTGCAATTTACAGGTAGACCCCAATTAATGAGGTTACATTCCTGAGAAACCTTTCTTCATAAATCAATGTATATTTCACCATATACAGTATTCCCATTATAAAAGGTGAGATATGTTCTTAAGTAAAAAAAAAAAGTTTTAAATGCCACAAAAATGCTACAAAACAAATTTTTTATACTGGATGTACACAATGATTATAAACCAATAATAAACACGAAAAGCGAAATACTGTACATTCAGTACAGTAATAATTTTATTACTACAGTACTATACTGTATTGTATTTTTTAAAAACTGGATGAGATTGTAAAAAAATAACATTTTGAAATGCTAAGCCAGCCATAGTAATACATTGACTCCCATTATATAATAGGAGATACATTACAAAATAAAATTCATGCTTGATTCTCAATGAATAAAGGAATAGCTTTATTCTAAATTCCTGCTGCTCGGTTTATATGGCACAAACGTAGCTTCAGACTGGGCGTGCTCTATACTCTATTAATAATTATATTTGGCTTTCACAATGCCCTAAAAAACACAAAAGTGATAGAACTGAGTTCTGTAAAAACTGGACCACAGTACAGTGATATCGTGGGCTGGCTTCCAATGTTTAAAGAGCAGAAAATTAAAGCCATTGCAGAAAAAAGTCAAAAGAAAAACAGGCATAAAGCCAATTGCCAACATTTCAGCTCAGTCAGCTGATGTTCCACTCGCCCTCCCTCATGCATTGCCAGCAATATCCACACCTCCAAATATTTCTTCATTTCCAAACCTTAATAAATCAGGGTCTGGCTGTATAGTAAATGAACAAAGGAGAAAAATTCTGAATATGCAATCCATAATAGAGGCACAATGGAGAGCTAAAAGGAACCATAAAAAAAAAATACAGAAATTAGAAAAGTTATCATAGCACTGTATTAGAATTTTATAGTATTTAAATTTTGTATTTAATAGTATTTAAATTTTATATTTTATCGTATTTAAATTTTAACGTCCTGATACTTTTTTGCCGACTGTACAGAACACCACTATCTAAACATCAACGAAATTCCTGAAGGTAGGAAAATGTATCATGGTGCCAGACATTAGTTATTATATGATTGCTCTAACTTCCTGCAAGGTAGGTATCACATTCCAAAAAGGATTTAGAATGTGCAATGATGTAATGACCTTTGTCTTGTTGGAATATTAAATTCTCAGCATAGTATAATTAATGGTCCGCAAATAAGAGTTGCACATCAATTACACTTCTCACCGTGTTGTGTGATGCAGTTATCTTTTCCACTTTAAACTAATTTTGGCCTAAAAAGTCAGGCTTTATATGTTTGAATGTATGTGCTCACTGTGAGTTGATGTAATAATTTTTCTTAAGTAACTAAAAATAACTTTCTTTTCTTATCTTTCACCATGTAAATGCAAGAATGATGATGTCCTGGGTCACACCCACATTATACTATTGCCTCCTGACATACATGGTACTTTGACCAAAATCAACAGTTGACACCATAAAATATTTATGTAGCAGTTCCATGAAAGCTGGGAAATTGTAACAAGTTTTTAGTGTTTGTGCCAAATCAATATCAGTTTTGACGTGCACGAGCACTGGGCTGTTATCTGCAGACTTCATTATTTTAGTTTAATATGGTAACAAATGTTATTGTGTTTGGCTGAAGTTGGACAAAGAACATAAGTCAGAGGCAGTTGTCTCAGTAAGTGTCTTCCTAGTCAAGTGACTGCATCTCTTTCTATGTTATCATTGTATATATTTTGCCAAGTTATTTATTTCTTGTATATATTTATGTCTTTTTACATTTTTATAAAATTTAAATGTGCAGTTGTAATGCACAAGGTTTCTGTAACTTCGCGACAGTCCCATGAAAAGTTTGGTACCTGAACTGGAGGATAACTGTTTTTGTGCTTTAAGAGGTTCAGGTGTTAAATATTTATTAAAAGACAGCATAATAACTCCAAATGGCAGCTCATTCATAGTGGTAGGAGCCTTATTTTCAAAGAATTATAGTTAATAGGTGCCTTGCCATATTTTGTCACAAAAATAACATGTTATATTGACCAGAATGCACAAATTTAACATATAAGAATTGTTTAATTTGAATCCTGATAATATTAAGTACAGGTACAGTCAGCTAAAAAAACATTTTGCACCCCTTGGTCTGATGGACTCTGCAACAAACACGGACTGAGGCCATGTTAATTTGGGAAGGTTGGTATTTCTGGTTGTGTGATGCATTGTATAACCAGTATAATGTACAGTGGCCCCTCAGCTAATGAACGATTCGGTTAACGAAATTTCAGATAACGAATTACCTTCCATAAGAATCTTCAATTCAGTTAATGAACAAAAATTTGATTAACGAAATCCTTACAAACATCACGTTTTGTTGTGAGCATCAGCTGATGGGCTAGTCTGCCAATTCAGTAATCTGATCTATGTTTACATTCGTTTCCAGTGGAGTAAATATCAAGAAAGTTGTGCTCTTTAATATTTTTGCATTTTTTATATTAAAATTATTAGTCATTTTTACATTTAGTTAACATATTGATAATATATGCAGTACAGGGAACTATTCTTTTGTGCGCCCATCAGCAGCTTGACTCAGCCACAAGGCGTCAGTTGGGCTTTGTTGACAGTGGAGTGAGCATCTATTTTGTTGGTGTCTTGAATATTTTTTTCATTTTTCATTGAAATTATTGGTCATTCTTAACTTTAGTTAACATATTGATAATATATAGCACAGTGCAGTGTTGATTTAAATAAAATAATCTTGAATTACACCTAATGAACTTAAAATTTTATTGGTAATATGACGGCATCAAGCATGGGTCCCCTGAAAGGTGATTTCTCCTCCATCCCCACTTCCTTCTCTTCTCCCTTCTCCTCCACCCCCACTTCTAATTCCCATCATCATCATCAACCAGGAACCTTCTACATACACACCTCAAAGTAAGTGTACTTTACGACATTTTTTTTTTTACTTTGTATGTACTTTTCGGTGAGCTGGAACCAATTACCCAATATCCTATTGAAACAATGGATTCGGTTAACGAACAACCCTCTGGAACGAATTGTGTTTGTTAACCGAGGGACCACTGTATTTTTTATATCACATTTAGTTAATACAGAGAAATTAACAGGAATCACCAGTGTACTGTAAATGAGTGTTGTTTAGAATTCTTGGTTCGTTGTGTCAATGTTTAACACCATAAAGGTGCAGAATTTTTTTTGACTGTACATGGTTTGAGTTATTCAGTAGTATAGAAGGGTCGGGATATATCGCGAGATAGGATCCAAGGATGTTCGCCATATACAGTAGAACGTCGATTTAAAGCGACACCCACA